GCGGAGAATTTGTCGGAACTGTCCTGTTTCTATACTTTGCTCTGTCCGGCGCACAAGTCGCGAACAGTATACCGTCGTCGGGAGGCCAGACTGTAGCGGAGGCTGGCAGCAATCCCCAGCAGCTGCAGTATATTGCGCTTTGCTTTGGCTTCTCGCTTGCTGTGAACGCTTGGGTCTTCTTCAGGATCAGTGGAGGCTTGTTCAATCCGGCCGTGAGTACCTCCTCTCTCCTGCGCTATTACTCAACCAGTTCGCTGACGACAATGTAGGTCACATTCGGCATGTGCTTGATCGGTGCTCTCCCCTGGGTACGCGGTGCTTTGTTGTTCGTCACTCAGATCCTTGGAGGCATGGCCGCGGCTGGTTTGGTCCAGTGCATGTTCCCGGGTGATCTCAACGTCCGAACAAAACTCGGTGGAGGTACCTCCATTGCGCAAGGTCTTTTCATTGAGATGTTCCTTACTGCCCAGTTGGTCTTCACCATCTTCATGCTGGCAGCTGAGAAGCACAAGGGAACCTTCATCGCGCCCGTGGGTATGTAACGAATAGCCTTTGGTTGGCTTATGTGGTGGATGCTAACGTCTTGAACAGGTATCGGTCTTGCTCTGTTCGTCACAGAGCTGTCCGGAGTGTACTTCACGGGTGGTTCGCTAAACCCCGCACGCTCATTCGGCCCTGCCGTCGTTAACCTCGAGTTTACACACTACCACTGGATTTATTGGCTGGGCCCCATCCTCGGGTCCATTATCGCGGCCGGGTTCTACAAATTCATCAAGATTCTCGAATACGAGACTGCCAACCCAGGTCAAGATATGGACCACGCTGCCAAGATCGAGAAGAAGAAGAATTTGCTGCTCGCCGCTGGTATCAACGAGTACGACGCTCATCAGGTGGCTACAGAGCTTACCGAAAAGGCTGCTGTTGCCGATGCCGGGGGTCCAGATGGTGGAGTCGTTGCCAATGGCCAAGGTCAACGTGACCCACAGTACGTTCCTCACGTCGGCATGTACGGGACACAGTTCCGTTCGAACTCTGACGTCAGCAACAAACGCGGTTCTGGTAGCTCAGAGTCAGGCGTCCTACCATCGCCGCAACGTCCGACTGCTGTGACTACAGGTAGCCAGGTTGGGAGGTTCAGCTACCTAGGTAGTCGCGGTGCCGTACCAGGCAACTCTGCCCAGATCAACGCTCTAAGAAGAGAGAGCAGACAGGATAGCCCTGCTATGACGACGAACGACGAGCTTTACGCTCCTTTGCAGCACGGCGCCGACGTGCCTCTTGGAGGTGCGGTCCTTGAGACTGAACCTAGGCAACGAGTCAACAGGACGCCATCGAGCTTTGCATGATGACGAGAGTATGATAATGAGTAAAGTTAAGAAGCACGACTGGATACCCTCTGAGTAACATAGCGCGTTTTGCTGCAGTGATTCTGTTTAGCGTTCCCGTACATAATGAATCGATTCGTGGTTGCCTCGACGTTAAATACTTCATGGTGATGTTTCTTCGGCAAGGCGGCCGATACCTCGTAGCGCTCAAGACTGAATTGCTTTCCATGTCACCGTTATGAATCACGGGTCTAACAAAGCGATTTGTGCTTTGTGGATACGGATGCCAGAGATCGAAAACAAACTAATGAGACCAGGTCGAGGTTTGGGGCGCACCTCGATGGACCAGGTGAGTGAGTTCGTGGGAGAGTGACCTTCTTGCTGAAGTCTGGCAAGTTGAAGCGACGGCACTAGTACAGAAGCGACCTAGCTCGGAATAAATCCCACCCCCACCCGTGACTTCCACATCCAGACTCTGAGTCCTCAAGATTCGCCATCTGTAAACCGCAAACACCAAACAATAAAATCTGCCCGCCATGGCGACTATGACAGTGACAGAGACGCAGCATAAGAGGAGGCTGCCAAAGAATGTCAAATTGCCACCCGAGAATGAACGTTACATGCGTGCGTGCGCAGATATCGCCTCAGCGCTCATTCAGGACTATGAATCCCAGGCCGACGGTTCAAAACCTAAGAAGGATCTGAATCTGAACTCGCTACGAGGTCAGATTGCGAAGAAGCACTACCTCAAGAGCCAGCCTCCGCTCACGGCGATTATCGCGGCTGTGCCTGAGCACTACAAGAAATATATCCTCCCGAAGCTCATCGCCAAGCCGATCCGTACGTTGCCCTCAAAGATATTGCATAAGTATTGTAAGACTGATGTGCTTTGTAGGTACATCATCTGGTATTGCAGTAGTGGCGGTCATGTGCAAACCTCACCGATGCCCGCACATTGCCTACACTGGTAATATCTGTGTATACTGTCCAGGAGGTCCAGACTCCGACTTTGAGTACTCAACACAGTCCTACACAGGTTACGAACCAACATCTATGCGCGCTATTCGAGCGCGATATGATCCTTACGAGCAAGCTCGTGGACGAGTCGACCAGATTAAGTCGCTCGGTCACAGTGTCGACAAAGTTGAGTATATCATCATGGGCGGCACATTCATGTCACTACCAGAGTCATATCGGGACGAGTTCATCTCACAACTACACAACGCGCTTTCGGGATATCAAACCAAAGACGTTGACGAGGCGGTTGCCGCCGGCGAGATGAGTAACATAAAGTGCGTTGGTATCACCATCGAAACACGACCAGATTACTGTTTGGATCAACACCTTTCCTCAATGTTGCGGTACGGATGTACGCGTCTCGAGATCGGTGTACAGTCCCTTTACGAAGATGTAGCGCGCGACACAAACCGAGGCCACACTGTCGCCGCCGTAGCGAAAACCTTCTGTCTCTCGAAAGACGCCGGATTCAAGGTTGTGTCACACATGATGCCAGACCTTCCCAACGTCGGAATGGAGCGTGATCTCGACCAGTTTGTAGAATACTTCTCGAACCCAGATTTCCGCACCGATGGACTCAAGATCTACCCTACACTCGTCATCCGCGGCACAGGACTATACGAACTCTGGCGGACTGGCAGATACAAGAACTACACACCAAACGCTCTCATCGATATCGTTGCCCGCATCCTGGCCCTAGTACCGCCATGGACGCGAATCTACCGTGTGCAGCGCGATATTCCCATGCCGCTTGTCACATCCGGTGTTGAGAATGGTAACCTGCGAGAGTTGGCGCTGGCAAGGATGAAGGACTTTGGTACCTCATGTCGCGATGTGCGAACACGTGAGGTCGGTATCAACGAAGTGAAGCATAAGATCCGGCCCGATCAGGTCGAGTTGGTACGTCGGGACTACACGGCTAACGGCGGTTGGGAGACATTCCTCGCATACGAAGACCCGAAACAGGACATCTTGATCGCCCTGCTTCGTCTACGACAGTGTTCGAAAGAACATACTTTCAGGCCAGAGTTGACTGGCCAGCCCTCTTCGCTGGTACGCGAACTGCATGTCTATGGATCTGCCGTCCCTATACATGCAAGAGACCCGAAGAGGTTCCAGCATCAAGGTTATGGAACGCTTTTGATGGAGGAGGCGGAGCGGATAGCTAGGGAAGAGCACGGAAGTAGTAAGATCAGTGTCATCTCTGGTGTTGGTGTGCGGAGTTACTATGGCAAATTGGGTTACTGGCTAGATGGCCCATACATGAGTAAGACGCTCGAGCCGCTGTGGGAGAGGGACTGGTAGATGGAAAAGTCGTGGCTGGCGCGTTCTGGCGTTCGTGCATGGATCGGACCTGATGCTTCAATTGACAGATATGCAGGGCTCATGCACATGTATAGATAGCATATATTACGCTAATCCAATGTCTTGCTACGAAAATGTATGAACCCGCCTGTGCCCGCTGAACGCCGTGTCTCATATTACAATGTACAAGTGCCCCCTTGCCTCCCCTCCACAGGCGCAATGACGCGTGCCTGTCCTAATGCTTCATCGTCGCATTCAAAGATTCTTTAGATGGTTCCGCGTCTCATCTTACCCCTCGGTCGTGTTCCGCATTCTGTTCAGGATTATGACAGGCTTATCGCGCCGCGGCGGCTTTCGCGCATGTGGAGGAAGGCCTGCAGGCCGCAGAAGACAAAGAAGCCCTGGAAAGACGTTAGTAAACTGTGATGCTATCTTCCCCATTTCAACGTACAATGTATATGAAGACGGCACCAAATACCGCGCCGGCAACTGCGCCACCATCCTCGGGGTCTTCATGTCCTCCCATTACGGTGCCGCTGTGTCCCTGCGAGTTGCGCATTAGCATCAGTTCTGCTTTACAGTTCTCATAACCAGTGGCGACTGTGGATTCGAAGGTGTTCGTCCTTGTCGGGACCATGGGCACGAGGCAGACGTACTTTGAACAGAGCTCCGATCGTGGAGAGAATGACGATGGCAAAGAGCGACACGACGATGCTAGCACTCCGTTAGCTTCCTTGCTATTCCTTCTTCCCTAGATTGTTTGGCGCATACCACGTCCATGCATTCATCGCGGAAACAACGGGCTTCACCATGATGGGCGACTTGGAGCTTCGGTATCGCGCGGCGGCGGGTAGCTTATCGGCGGCGGTGGCGGCGCTTCGATCGTGGTATCGTCGAGTGGTTCGCTACCTGTACCGGTAATGTAGATGATGTCGTAGGAGGAGATGGGGCTGGGAGGTGGTCGACGTCGATGGTGCGGCGCTGGATGAGGTGCCTGAGCCTGGAATCGTCATGTCTTGCGACGCCTGCCGATGCGCGTGGATCCGTGCACCGCATCTGATGCAGGTGAACCGGGAACTTCCCGAACATCGACATTCATTCCATTCCCCATCGACGCCGCAAAACCCTCATAGAACGGCTCGCCATCACAGTTCGCGCTACCTTCGAAGCTGAATACAGATATCATGTCTCACTAGGCTGGACAACATAACTTATTGTACCATCATCGCGATAACGGAAGACGGCAACGGACTAGAAACCTGGCTTCACCACACTCAACGACGCCCATCAGCTCTTGGACTCCATCCACGCCCGCATACATAAGCTCCTCATCTATTGTCCTGAGAGCTCAAGATGGATAGTAGCGTTGATACCTTTCGCTTCCTCGATCTTCCCAAAGACATCCGGTTATTAGTGTACGACTACTTGCAGCCCGAGAGCCACTTGGTATCAATCTTTGGAAACCAGCGTTGCCTCTGGTATACCAAATCAAGGCCTTCCACAGCACTACTATTAGTCAACCGCCTTCTATGCGACGAGATCAGAGCCTACTTCGGCAACGGCTTCCCGGGTCAGCCTATCACACTCGTTGCCGCGCAAGGTCATTGCACGTTTGCACTGCGCTTTCTAGAAGCTCTCACCTCGGGTCATCACTTGGATACGCTGTCCAAAGAGAACCATGGCGATGCTGGCATGCCTGGCATGCCTGGCGAACTCTCCAAGTTTACGCAGATGATACCGACCCGTCAACTGAGGATGCGTGTTCAGAGTATCGATCAAAGGCGTTGCGAAAGTAAGACGTCCCCACTTACTGATTTCGACGATACAACGCTCCAGAAAGTCTATCGTCTCTGTGTGCTCAGAATGCGCAAAGAGACACACTTTCAGTTAAGAGTTCTGTTCCCAAACGGGAAAGTAAAAGGCGACAGGGATTTGCGCTACTTACTCATGGGAAAGACCAATACTCACCCGGAAGACGTTCGTTCATTTGAGGTGACTGTGGTCTTTACGGCTACACCGCCACCCGATGCTATTCCGTCACGGGCTGAGATAGGGAGAATGTTTCGAGAGAGTTCTATTGATGCGAAGAATATAAAGCTGCAATGGGAGGCCATGACAGAGCAGGAACTCGACGTTTGGCGAACCGGTCGTTTCTACAACTACGATGACTACCACGACAACCACGACAACCACAACTGCCACTTCAGGCACGACTGCCACGACCGCCACGACTACTATGACTACCACAACTACTACTGAGAGCTTTGCACACAGTTTTCTTGATGATATAGGTTATCTTGTCCCGTTTTGACCACGGCTGGATCTTGGCTTTATGACCTGATGCAATTCTGAGTAAGAGGAGGTATAGCTGCATTCGCACGCGCTAGGTCTCTAGTCTGAAAACTGTGGAACCTGGGTACTTTGAATTCCTTTGTAGCGATCGCATAGAATGCTGAGTTGTGGACTTGTAGTATTAACCAATCTTTTGATACTGGTGACATCCAACGCTGGGCTTGATGAACAACTCTTCTCCGTCCCCACTATGTGAATATCCCATAAATTCTGCGAACGGTCTCTGCGTTCAGCCATAAGAGCAGCTCCTTTTCTTCGGCGTTCTGTTTGCTTGCCATCCTAGTGATCAGGTACAAGCAACCTTATCAGGTTCCCGCCATACGTCGAGGCTCTGCTGTGTTGCCACTCGCCAATTGGCAAGGCGGATCCGGGGTTCGGTCCATTCAGCTTGCAATTGACCCTGAACGCCCTTGTTCCCGCTGATGATGGATGGTAATACATAATCGCAACCTTGAACCTTTATCGCAGCCCTGATTGTGTTGGTCGGGCTCTTCCGAGTTGGGATATCATGGTCCGCATGTAGGCGAGTTCTTTAGGTGTGGCCAGTTCCGTGGGCACACAATCGCCAGCCGGAGACAATTCTATTTGTGAAAGAGAATCTTGCGTAGCGTGACTGTCGGGGACTAGGACAAAATTGCATCGTGTGTTTCCTTGCCTGGATACAGCCTTGTTCATGGGCTCTGCTCGATCGCTACCAGAACTCATAAGTGCAAGGTTGTTTGCCCCTATCAAGAACCGGTATTCTACGTGAGCATTGTGCCGTAGCTTCCTCACAGCGAATTCGAAGTAACTCCGAGTGAGTAACATCCCCCGTTTCCGCTCACGACCGAAGAAGTATTTTCTTGTACGAGAGTAGAAAAAGAATTGATGGAGCAATCTGATGGGGCTTTTTAAAACCGAGTCGGACACATCTGCGTGCTCGAATGCAGCTGCATTAATGCGCTCTTGTAATATATGTTGTTGATCAGAGTCGTAAGCCATGGATAGTGTGCGAGAAATATCTCCCACATGGTTGAATGATTTGATAACGTAGATTACAAGCGGCCCACCAAGACGCTGTTGGCGCGTCGCCACTCGTGCTTCGTCCCTGAGCTGGCGTGACGCTTGGGCGACTGCCGGATCTATTGTGACCACCTCATAGGCAATCCCCATTTCCGGGAAAGATAAAGGCTTGATGCGCCGATTGAGTAGATGTTCATAGATCATGAATCGGATGTCTTTGGGAAGATCCATGAAGCGAAGGAACGTTGCGAGAGGTGTAGCGTTGGGGTCATGTTCTTTGGCGACACCAGATGGCTCGCGCGCGATCCGGGCATGCGTGGAGAGATCTTCTGAAGTGAACATGGCGTTATTGATTAGTCGAAAACCTCTATTGAGAGTATAGCAGATCTTCTTGCTTTACGCGTCTTCGGCCCCGGGGACTTGCAGCGGGACATTCAGCGCTAGTCCGTAAACGGATGAGATGACAGCCTGGAATCGATCACGTGCTACCGTCTCCAGCACGCGACGCGTCTTCCCCACCCATATCGCACCTGGCATGACAAGCTTGCAGTGATTGTTGTACATTTCCGAGACAGTGTTGTACAGCAGACGCCGTTTGCGCACTTTTCTCTACGAAGCCCTGCAATCCTTGCTTTTCTGCGACCTTGTCCCTGAATTTGCCACCTGAGGCGTGAACGCGCGACGGGCTATCGGCGCAAAAGGGCCAGGGGTATCTACCCTTCGACAATTAGTGCTTCTTGTCATCTCACCCCTCCGTCGAAGCTACAGTCTCTCGTTCAATCCGTTCATCAGTGTTCGCTGCGCGTTCCTCGATCTCTGTCGCATTTTCACTTGCTTTTCCTTTCACCAATTCATCATAATGGCGCCCCGGCGATCAACCCGCAAGTCGACTGGTGTCGCGAATGACGTCGCCACCGCACCTTCCCCAGCGCCGACAACTGGTATGTACAGGCTGACTTCGGCTCTCACTTTTGCTTGACAAGTGAATGCTGTGCATCATTCTTGCGCTAACGCGATTACAGCCCTGGCAGACTCCTCCGTGGCTGATAGTCGCCACAAACAGAAGCGCCCTCGTACCTCTCGATCTTTCATCCCCGACTCTTCCGACCACGAGAGCGAAACCATCGAGCCCGAGGTGCCTCAATCATCCGCCAGCGCCCGCCGCGTGTTGAAAGAAGTTAGAGTCCCCGCCATGAAGTCCAAGAAGGCGCCCGCCACTCGCGGACGGCTAGCAGGGCTCAACGCGCAACAAGCGGGACAAGAGAGTTCAACCGCCTCACCTTCCCTGGAGAACTCGGATTACGAAACACAAGGAACCAGCATCTCGACCACGCCAGCTGCGTCAGTCAGTCGTGGCAAGAAGACCGCCCGTAGTCGGCTGAACAACGCTACGACGCCTTCGCAGAGCACCTCATCCAAACGATCTCGCACCGCCGTGTCAGACTCCGAATCAGACTCCGAAAACTGGACGCTCGACATGGACGCTGAGATCGCTGCACAAATGCAGTTGGAGGACGACGAGGATGCGCCACACAGCAAGCGCCAGAAGATCAAGGACGAGGACGATGAGGACATGCTATCCGAGGATGAGCCCATCGCGCCTTCGCGTCGCAAGAAGGCGCCCTCATACATCGGCAAGGGCAAGGGCAAAGCCAAGGTCGAGGAGGTCTTCAGCGATGACGACGCAGATTCAATGACAGCTGTTCTGTCGTCAGCACCATCTTATAAAGGCAAGGGCAAAGGCAAGGCCAAGGCTCAGTCTTCAGCAAAGCGTGGTCGTCCTGCACGCTCTAGTGCGAAGAAGGCAACGTTCAAGGAAGAGGACTTCCTCGATGACGAGGAGTCTGACGGCGGCGAGTTTCGTCCTGATGATGTGGATGACGCCGAGTCTTTGCTTAACGATGTCGAGACACCAATGGCTAGCGACAGCGATGAAGAGCCTTTGATGACGACAAGTGACCGTCTGAAGAAGATTGCTGCGGCGCGCCAGCCGAAAGCATCTGGAGGCCGGAAGAAGAAGCTCACCCGCGGCGACAAAGACGAAGCGACTGATCGTCGGGCGAGGTATGCGCACATCGCGGACAAGTGGGAGCGGAAGCGGGCCATGAACCGTGAACGAGCAGAGCAACAGCATCCAAAGCTGAAGACTATGTGGAAGACTCTGGAGGACATCCCCGTCCTGGAGGTTCAGCAGGCAGAGCAACCAGAGTCTATTACCCGACGATTGAAGCCATTTCAACTTGAGGGTCTTAGCTGGATGATTCGGCAGGAGAAGACTCACTACAAGGGTGGGCTGCTAGGAGATGAGATGGGTATGGGCAAGACTATCCAGGCTGTCTCCCTGATCATGTCCGATTACCCTGCAAAGCAGCCGACGCTCGTATGTGTCCCGCCAGTTGCTCTGATGCAATGGTCCAACGAGATCCGCGAGTACACAAACAACAAGCTCAAGGTTCTGGTATACCATGGCACGAACGCCAAGTGCAAGAAGATGTCGATCAAGGAGCTCAAGTCCTACGACGTAATCATGGTTTCGTACAACTCTCTGGAATCGCTGCATCGCAAGGAAACCAAAGGATGGTCCCGCGGTGAGGACATCGTCAAGGAGGCATCACCACTCCACGCCATCCACTACCACCGCCTTATCCTGGACGAAGCGCATAGTATCAAGTCTCGCAACACCGGTGTAGCTAAGGCTTGCTTTGCGCTGACTGGTGACTACAAGTGGTGCTTGTCTGGCACGCCAGTCCAGAATCGCATCGGAGAGTTCTTCTCACTTCTTCGCTTCCTGGAAGTCCGTCCATTTGCGGACTACTTCTGCCGTTCATGCAAGTGCGAGAAGCTGCATTGGGCCACCGACGATGACCACATGTGTGTTGCCTGTAACCACGGTGCTTCTGAGCACATCTCAGTGTTCAACCAGGAGCTGCTCAACCCAATCACTGGCGATGACCATAAGCTCCGCGAGGAGGCCCTGACAAAGCTTCACTTGATCACTGCTCGCATCATGTTACGACGTATGAAGCGCGATCATACCAACTCCATGGAGTTGCCAATGAAGGACATCATCATCCACCAAGAGTTCTTCAGTGAGGTGGAGCGCGACTTCTCAACCTCGATCATGTCGAACTCCGCCCGCAAGTTCGATACTTACGTTGCGCAGGGTGTCATGCTCAACAACTACGCCAACATCTTCGGTCTTATCATGCAGATGCGACAGGTCGCCAACCATCCCGATCTTTTGCTAAAGAAGAATGCGGCCGAAGGTGCTGGTAACGTCTACGTGTGCAATATCTGCGACGAACCCGCCGAGGACGCGGTACGTTCTCACTGCCGTCACGAGTTCTGTCGCGCTTGCATCAAGGACTTCATGGAGACCTGCGAAGCCTCTGGCACGGACGCAGATTGCCCTCGCTGCCACATCGCCCTGTCTATCGACTTTGAACAGCCAGAGCTTGAGCAAGACGAGGACTCCGTCAAGAAGACGTCGATCATCAACCGCATCAAGATGGAGAACTGGACTTCTTCCACCAAGATTGAGATGTTGGTATACGACCTCTACAAGCTTCGGAGCAAGAAGCAGACACTCAAGTCCATCGTCTTCAGTCAGTTCACGTCGATGTTGCAGCTCATTGAGTGGCGTCTGCGTCGTGCCGGTTTCAATACCGTCATGTTAGATGGCAGCATGACTCCTGCACAGCGCCAGAAGAGCATCGATCACTTCATGACCAACCCGGATGTTGAGGTCTTCCTCGTCTCCCTCAAGGCTGGTGGCGTCGCTCTCAACCTTACTGAAGCATCCAGGGTATTCATCGTTGACCCGTAAGTATTAGTCTCCGCCATATCTTTCCACAGAACGCTAATGAAACGCAGGTGGTGGAACCCAGCAGCTGAGTGGCAGTCCG